ACGGGTGACTTGAGTCTGAGACTACCCCGACACGTCAAGCGTCGTGGAAAGGAAGATGGCTGGTTGACGTCCCCACTCGGTCCACGCAGTCCTTCCCCTTGTGTGTGTGTGTGTGTGTTGTGTGGAGTGGCGGACTGGTGGGAAGGGAGACGGGCTGAAGCGGAGCCTCCCACGGCCCTCTCATGCAAGTGAGAGCCACCCCCGTTGTGTGAAATCCTGGTGTATGCGTGTGCCTGGGGGGCCAGTTCGTACAAGTGGTGCACGCAGGCATAGTCTGTCGACCGTGCCAGCCACCGCGCCCATTCCCCACTCCAGTCTGCCGACCGACTCTACTCATTTTAGAAAGAACTCATTGCATGTTAACCGACCATATAACTGAACGAGAAGCTGCAGGCTACTTACAATCATCCCAAAACTTTATATGATCAATGAAATCACGATGGTGGGCGTGAGAAAGCACTTGTTGGCCATTGCATCTGCTGAAGCAGGTTCTCTGTCAAAGACGATGAGTCGAACGCAAAGAGTTCTGCTGCATGAAGTTACCTAGAAGCCGACTGATACGTCACTAAAAGAACACAATGCGAGATGTAATCTAGACCGACAGGCAGGCCACACCTGTAACCAGATCTGTCAACACGAAATAATTTTTTTGCAGCTCATGCTAAAACTGTTGCATACTCAGAACCACCAAGCTATGCAGATAATTTTACGTTCATAAATGAGCCCACAATTTGAGCGGCTTCTTAAAATACACTAGTGAAGTGCCCTTAACGAGTTGATGATCGCTATTTCGGCGGTACTATTGGTTTCACAACGTTCAGATTATGCATTTTATATGCCACTTTCTGTAGCCCCTAATCAAATACCTCCAAATAAAATGGCGCTTTCAAAGGAGAATAGACTTTACAATTGCTGCATGGAATCACAGTAGTTTTTAAATTTGTCTCCTGACGCGCTAGAAGGTCTGCTAGGACTTTACACGTGTTAAAAGAGTTCACTTAACACAAGACCTACAGAGCGTTTTATTTCAAAGATCAGAAATGTAGCACTTTGCATAGTGCACACGTAAGAAGTGAAAAGGCGAGTTCCAGGAAGTAGTTGCGAAGAAGGAGACACGATAGCTGAAACAAGAGCTTCGTTAGCCTGATCTTTACCTGACTGTCTCTGATGATGGATTCGAGTGAAAATCCGAAACGTCAGGCTAAATAAGCTCTGGTTCCAACAATCGTGTCTCCTACTTCAAGAATGTTTACTCTCTCTGGTGGACCGGCTGGCCATGCTGTCAGGGATACTGAGGATGGTCATCTTCACTGATCTAAAACCGGTAGTAATCACGAAGATAAGGTTTGTTTCTTGCATCTGAGACCATTAACAAATCCAAAAACGCAACGCTTTTTCAGTTCTAAGTCCAATTTGAAAGTGATAAAATTGGCCCATCAATTACACTGGAAAACAGCGGTCAGCATATTACCGAAGGCCTCTAGGCTGTGGTTCATCGGTAAGTCAGTAGAGTCGACCTACAGACCATTGAATTCCGTGACGAGTAAGACTCCCAGTTCAGATGCCGCAGGGCCCAAAAGAGTTTAGTTTGCACCGACTGAACTTTGGTGACAATGGATCTCCAGCTATGTTACGTCTAAAACCTACGACGTTGACAGAACCATGGTAAACATCAAGAAGTCCGTCTGTTTGGGGAGGTTGTACTAAAGATTGAACAAGAGACACAGGCAATAGGGCAAGAATTTTTTGAACTTTCCTTCTTTCGCTGGAAGGTTTTCTTTAACAAAACGTAGACAGTCGATTATTGCTCTAGGGGAGCACGTCTTTGTGTTAGTCAGTACGTCTGGGGTGTGATTATTTAACAGGTACATAGGCACGTTTGAGCTGTCGATGGGGCGCATGTCGGTGGTGGGTGCGTCACGCCGGCGAAGTAGTTTGAGTGACGTCACTTGTTTCGAGGCCGTTGTCGAATGATGATCTTGGCAACAAACAGTCATCTGGGAAAGCTGCTCTTCTTCGCTGTTGGTGTAGACAGCAGTGGGACCGATTAACGACGAAATGATGACCAGATTAATTCGAAAAACCACCAGGCGGGACAGCGGTCACACGGCTTAAACGACCATTTCCTGGAAAGAACATTAAAAACAGATATGTCAACACTGCAAACGTCACACCAATCAAGTCGAGGCCAGCAAAAAACGAAGTAGCATCAATGAGACCTTTAGAACAAGACTGGTCAACTGGAGAAGTTATTTAGAGGAATTTTCAGTTTATGCACAGAAAATATTTTTAATTATAATCAACAGATCCAGCATTTTCGAAGGATAATCAGTTCATATACTTGTCCCAGACAATAATTATTCCACCATAATTTGACACATCTTGCTCGAGAATTTTCGGATCTCTGAACTTAAAACCAATGAGGCCATCGGCTGCATTCCGAAGCGTGGTCTTCCCCGTTCCGACTGGGTGATCTACATTAGTTAAGAAGGTGTTTACTGTGTGCTTTAGGGTTTTCCGGTTTGAGATCTCGGCCTTCTTGCTGCGTAATGGTTGCCATTGCAGATTTATTCCTCTAGAATTGCCAGAAAATTGCGGCTGCGACTTTTAAATTTAGAGATTCCCTTGCCTACATACGCGTCCACAGTACGCACCTTCACTAACCAGACGCCCTAGCATATGAAAGTTCATATTTTGCATGGAAACCCATTTCTTTTAAAGAATGCAAAAAGCAAACATTCCGGTTTCCATCGGAAACAGTTTTCACGAGCAATTTCAGCCGAACTAGGCCTCTCTAATGCGTTGATCTACTAATCACGAAGTCATAAATGCGCATACAAGCGATATCTCTGCGCATGCTGCCTCGGTATAGAAATGCGAGTAAATGCCATTCGAATGAGATTTCGTGAGGAAATAACCGATTTATTGCCTCCAGTCTATGCGCCGTCTAGCTGAGTCCCTGTAGGCAAAATTCCGGTATGGTTGGACCCTACGAACATACGCCAGAATTTGCTAATTAATTGTGCTTCCACGAGATGTAGGATCACACTAGCATCCGGCAGGTGACTCCTCCGTCATTTATAATACTGCCGAATCCGGATTTTGTGCACTAAAGTGCCAACTTCCAGTCAAACGCGGTAACTACGTGTTAGCAGGCAAACCCGATGTCAGTCAACTAGAACATCCACTTCAGATCGAAGAGCAGGTTAGCAACGGAAACGGTCTCCGGGTGGGTTTAATATCACCTTGTCACTCAGACGCACATCCACGAAACTCGCACAGGCCTGACTCATGGGCTTCGTTGCTCATAACAGACCTTATTAAATTAACCTTAGCTATGTTTTGCTGGCAAGTCTGCTTGTTTGCACAGGTCAAAAGTGCCGTAGGTGCAATTGTAGACGGGCGGGTTGTTGGTAGCTGTGAATCGGCTGTTACCGCTGTTGCTTCTGTGGTATTCCGAGAGGCTTAATTTAATTACCTTCGCTCCGCAAGTTCGGTTGGAAAAAGTACAGTGCTTATTCAATGACGGGCTCAGCATGAGGGATAAAACACCAGATGAAGTGGATTTGTTCGACCCACCTGCGGGCACATGTACTGTGCTGATTTGTCCAGGAAGAGTTAGGCATTCTTGTACGTGCACGCGCTATACTTTCACGTACAAGGGTTGTGTGCGAACTCGAAGTCAGTAATTCATTTACGAAATAGGTCGATTCGCCGCAGGTTAACCAAGGGAAGATCAACCAAGCTTTACAGTAGCTTGTTTGTGGAAACTGAAGAGTTTTGAGAACCACATGAATGGTATGTGAGGAACTGAAACATGCAACCCCAGGGGAGGATGTCGAGCTAAGTTCACAAACCGACGTGGTTAATAGTATTTTCTGACACAAGAGAAGCACGATTTCCGAAGTCAGTTGAGACAAGGCTGGTTAGATTGCTGGAAACATAATCCTATTTGTCTTACATTTCAGACTTCCACTCGATTGAGGGAGGATCATGAACGTCAGACGAGCAAAATTTCTGTTCCAGCGACCACATCTACTATCATCAGTAGTATTTTCATAGCAACGTCGGAGTATGTAGGGTGTGGCGGCCAGTCATCATGATCGGTCTGCCGCCATTGTTTAAGACTTCGCTGCCTCAAGGTCATTCACCCTTTTGCAGTGGGCTCTTTCAGACTCGCTGACCTGAAGTTACACAACGGACAGCTCAGGCATACCTGCGTCCACGCAGTCGCAGCTGCCCATGAGGCCACTTGAACGTACCGTCCCCCGTGCAAGCATACCCTAAGCCACCGGGACACGAACCCTCGGCAAATGCCACGCACACTAACTGGTCACCACTTGAGCTTGACCCACGAGCCTTCAAAAACGGCTGCCACCACTATCTCAAGGACTCTCAGGCATGACTGGACGCAGTCAACATCAGCCCTGGCGTCGCCAGTGGTCACCGCCGCCTGAGAGGACAACTCCGGGTTCTGTGCACAACAAACCCCTTTGTTCTGGTTTCTTCTGTCTTC